AAAATTCCAAATTTCTATAATTAATTTATGAACTGAAATTATTAGCTATTCCATTATACTAATAGAAAGACGAACCATTAGTATTTTCGGCAATGGTTCAAACACTCTATCCAATAATCACCAATAATGAATTAAGTAACAAGGAATTCATATCTAGAATTATATTAGAAAGCTTGCTAAGGTTGTGCCTTTACGATGCAATTTTAAAAGTTGATAAATTAATTATAGACGAACATGAAGTCACAGATGTAGATGAGTGATTTTGTTATTCGTAAAAAGAAAATGAAACTGTAATGGTTATATGCTTAGGTACTTTTTATTCACTTTGAAAGTTTCACATATACACGATCATTGTTAACGACATAATTCCTCGGTTCTTTTCTTATAACTTGCATTTTATATTTTATCCTTTCCTTCATTGCTCTGAAAATATAAATATATGACATTTAATAAAAATTAATATTTTCTGTAACATAGTTATACAGTAAGCAATAAACTAACTCTTTCTCTTTCGTTATAACTCCTAATTCTTCTTGAGTTTTTACTTCGTCATCACTTTCCCAATCGCTACTAGGGTCTTCCTTCCTTTATTTATTTGCCAGTTCAGGTGGTTCAAAAGGTGGTTGCAAGCTTAATTTTGTATCACTTAAAGAATCATGAGCTGATTTGCCCTTACCAGTAAACTTTTTGTTTAATATCTTTATTTATAATTGTGTATTTTTAATGTTTTCATAGGCGAAAAATGAGTACAAAATAAAAAATAAGTTGAAAAAATTACAAATATGGAACGAGAATCGAACTCCCCGTCCTCCGGTGTAGCAATTCTAGAGCGTGGCTGTTACGCTACAACGTAATGTAAAGTGAGATAGCAATAAATATGTAATTAAGGAATAAAACTTTAATAGTAAATATCTCCATAACTATGGAGTAGTTGCGACTATAATGATATATTCTCTTAAACTGCATGACGATATCTACAAACCTGCAAAGTTTCAATTAAATCGGTGACCCGAAGGATTTGCACTCTCGTTGTTTCACTATATTGTAGTCAAAGAGTTTAATGTTCTAACGTTATTCCATGTTGAATCGGTAACGTTGAACAGTTTATGAAAATGATAGTGATCTGCACTACTCGCCTCGTAAGGTAATGGACCATTAACGTTTGTAGCTATCGACTTTATTACCTTCGATGAATACAAGTTTACCATAAATACCTATAGAGGACAGGAGAAGCGCTCTACCCTTTCTCGCGGTCGGCATTTCAGTTCACGTGATACACAGTCTTGAAAAATATAAAGTTGAATTTATGATTAGTTTGACATATAATTATAAAATATAAAATCAAAAGTTCATAGTTCTTTGAAATAATAGTAATTGAAAAATTTGAGTAATAAAGTATTTATTTTTGTATTTTATAAATATATTCTCACGTTTATATATTGGTATTAATATTAGGTAATAATGATAATATACGTAATTGGAACAGAGTAATTTGTTTGTTTATTGTTAATATGGCAAATTGTCCTTGATAGCGTATCTATCGATGCAAATTACAATATTAACTCTATTTTATTACTCATGCTTGTAAGTCTCCTACAATAAAAAAAATCCTTCGTCAATAATATTTCATATCAAATCTCTAGTCATCTATATATCAGTCAACCAAATGGTTCTTATCTCGAAAAATCATCAGCAGGTAAGACATACCTTTTACCTTCTTTTGACATTTGCTTTATTGGCCCAATAAAGTCCATGCTCTGCCACAGCTCCATTATTCTTGCTGCTTTTATATTTTCCAAGTTCCCATAGATATTTCTACACATTTTTGCCTTAATGCAACATTTACACAGTATATTTAAGTTATCTTTATCTTTAATAACTATTACCACTTGTTCATTCTCCATCTCTTCAATGAAACCCATATTTCCATGTCGATGCCACACATTTTTCTCTGTTGATACATAAGCAGCCTCTTTTCTCTTTCTTGATTCCGCATAATACGCATTCCCTCTTCTCACTTCTTTCATTCGAGCCTTGCTCTTTTCCTTATATGCCTCAACCCCATCATTCTGAAATATAACATATTAGTACTATTCAACGACATTTTTCTATGTAAGGGCTTAGATTTAATTTTCTACATTTATCATTTGGCAACATTCAGACTCTATATCTGATTTATCTTTACCTTTCATAACGATTACCATGTATTCATTCTTCATCTCTTCATTGATCCTTATATTAATATGTCCTTGCCATGCATTCTTCTCTGTTGAAACATATGCTGCCCCTTTTTTGTTTCTTGATTCCGCATAATATGTGTTTCCTCTTCTCACTCCTTTTATTCGAACTTAACACATTAGCAATGATCACTGACTTTGACCACTGATATTAATATTTATATAGATCAGGGATAGAACATACCTCTCAATCTCAGTGTATTTCTCTATATTTAGTTGTTATAAGAGGCCATCACCTAAATTAATTCCATTCCTTTTTGTCTGCCTCCTAAGCCATTTCCATTTTCTGAATCTTTATTTGACCATCAATGATTTCTGTCTTGTATGTCATGGGTGGCTACCGCACCTAGAATCTAATAGACGTATCATACTTTACATATTTGTACCGCTGCTTTAATTTTTTCTCACTATAAAATATAATTCTTGGCATGTATGCTGATGATATTCCATGAGTCCAATAATCAAGCTCTCTGCTATCACTAATGAAAAGTGGGAAAACAGTGGCTCGTAACTTACGCTATTTAATTACAACTAAAGGTTATGTTAATACAAATACTTACATGTTTTTCGCAATGCAGGCACAACTGCATGGACACAACAATGCTTCCGGCGTCTGTTTGCAATTTTTTCTCATTTCCTATGCATTCTCCTGTTCACTTGAAGAAAAATTAACAAATCACTCAATTTCTGTGATTAACTCATGAAATTTTATAATTGCGTTGTGAAGGCGTACCTTTGCATATTTGTCGTCTTCCAGATAAAGAAATGAATGCTGATTGCCTAATTAAAATCGCTGTTGGGGC